GAGCCCTCGAGCCATAGGACGTTGGCCATCCGGCCCACCATGGCACCTCCGCACTCCGCTTGGCGGCCGCCCACCACTTTCAGCTTGACATTAAAAGTCTTCAGCCATAAGCCGAAATGGGGCTGGATGCAGAGGAAGGCCTCGCACACGACGATGAACGCCGAGATGTTGAGGATAAAGTTCGGGGCCAGATCGTGGAAGTCCAGGCCGTAGTAGAACATGAGCCCCCGGACGAACGGGTGAAGAGGAAAACCCAGTCCGCGGAGGAAATGAGGGAGAAAAACAACCCTCTCATGGGGCCTGGGGGTGGGGATGAGTTGCCCCGCATCTGGAAGCCGGTGCGCGATGTCGTCAGACAAGTATCCGGTTGTCCTCAACTTTTTGATTTGCCCCTCCGTGACGGAGGAGGCCATCCATCTACCTCCCGCTCCGGACATGATTGGAGAAGGTTGAGGTGGGAAGTGCGGGCTTGGGCGTTGGAGCTCGAGCGCGCAGGGACGGATAAGCAAAGGAGGAAGAAGGCGTAAATGGAAAGGGTAGATCCTTATCCCCTTATATGGGCGGCCGAAACTGCGAGCCCCCACCGGCCTAATAAAACTCGCTTATCTCCCAAGCGCCGCGGTTAATGGCGCGGTTGGGTTACCCACGCCCGTATTGATGAGAATCCCGGAATAAGGGGACACGATCTCTGCTTTGATGAGACGTGCCAAGGAAACCGCCTCGCTAAACACGCTGAGGTGGGGCAGTAAAACGATTCGAATAAAAGCCTGGCCATGGCATGATGTCACGCTGTGGAATACGGCAGCAGATTAGATTGGTGCAAATATTATTCTCTCTACTGTGGCATGTGGAACTTATTTTGCAGAGCCGGACACTATCCTTGTGTTCAACATCTTCTATGAAGTATTCGGAGGAGGAACCCGCCTTGCAATGCCGAAGACAACTTGCACGCTGGACTCATCTTCATTGAAGCCTGGTTCAGGGGCTACTGAGGGAGTCCTGGATTAGGGGGTGTCTGGATGGCCGGACTATGACCTTTGGCCGAACTCCCGGACTATGAAGATACAAGATTGAAGACCTCGTCCCGTGTCCAGATGGGACTTTCCTTGGCGTGGAAGGCAAGCTTGGCGATACGATATGAAGATCTCCTCCCATTATAACCGACTCTGTGTAACCCTAGCCCTCTCCGGTGTCTATATAAACCGGAGAGGTTTAGTCCGTAGGACGAACAACAATCATACCATAGGCTAGCTTCTAGGGTTTAGCCTCTCTGATCTCGTGGTAGATCAATTCTTGTAATACCCATACCATCAATATTAATAAAGCAAGAGTAGGGTTTTACCTCCACCGAGAGGGCCCGAACCTGGGTAAAAACATCGTGTCCCTTGTCTCCTGTTACCATCCGCCTAGACGCACAGTTCGGGACCCCCTACCCGAGATCCGCCGGTTTTGACACCGACAGTCACCATTGACGAAGAGGTGAGCCATTGATCCTTCTGTCGACGATACAACGGAGCTCTGAATGAAAGCACCAATGTTAGTGTCAAAACCGGCAGATCTCGTGTAGGGGGACCCAAGCTGTGTGTCTGAAGATCAATGGTAACAATGGAGAAGGTACACAGTATTTACCCAGGTTCGGGCCCTCTTAATGGAGGTAAAACCCTACTCCTGCTTGATTATATTTGAGGGTATAGGGGTTACAAGAGTTGATTTACCTCGAGATCGATTCGGCTAACCCTAGAGTTGTACAAGGTCGGTTTTACAGAAAGGAATAAAATATCCGGACACCTATACTTGCCATCCATGCATGCGAGAGTCCCCACCGGACACGAGAGATAATCTTCTGTCTTGTATCTTGACAGCCCATCAGTCCGGCCCACATCAATAGACCGGACGCCGGAGGACCCCTAATCCAGGACTCCCACACCCACAAACACACGCTTTAGGGCGGCTTGAACCTTGGCGGGTCGCGCACGCTGAGCCGTCTCAATGATGTCGATGCAGGTGTCCGGCTCAGGCTCCGACTCGCCGATCTTGCCGATGAAGACATGGATTCCGCCGAAGGGGACCCGGTACCCGTATACAATTGAATCAGCCTCGGGACCCTAGCCTCCGTCATCGATGTAGATCTTGCCGCGGCGACTCTTGGTCATCCGGCCCACGGCGTATCCCTTGATCCCTGAGAAGCTGCCCTTCAAGAACTCGAAACCACCATGCTCTGGCCCCATGGTGGGTGCCAACTGCCGTGGATTTAACACGGTAGATGCCCTAGCAAAATGACTTAGGTGTGGAGCCATTGCAACTAGGTTAGCTTAAAGGGGTTAAACGGGACAAAGGACACAGAGAGTTTTACCCAGGTTCGGCCCCTCTCAACGAGGTAAAATCCTACTCCTGCTTTCGATTGTATTGCTTGTGTTTCGATTATCAGGGAGCGAATACGCTTGACCTAGTACTTGATTGATTGTTACTTGAGTCAACTCGCCACCGGGTCTCACCTATATATACACAGGTTGAGGCTTGGCAGCTTACAGAGTCCCGGCCGGTTCACACAACGTGACTGGCTTGGTTTCTAAGGAAACTTGTCTTATGGAATAATTTAAACATATAGCGGCTCATCCCTTTAGGCCTCTAGTCGCCTCCGGGTCTTGGGCCTCCAACAGGCTTGCTTCATGAACCGCCATCTTCAACTCTTCTGGACTATCAGGCCTCTTCATCTTTAAGTCTCTAGTGGCATGACCCGGCCCCTCCTGGGCGGGTCATACCCAATAGTTATATCCCCAGCACCCACCAAAGCGTCCACCAGAGCCTCTCATACCTCTTCCAACAATGCTTCCTCTGTTAATTCTTCCTCCCATTTCTCCCCTGCCACCCATACTTCCTCTACCACCTGCCAACCTATCACTCGATGGCTCTGGAACCCATATAAGCCATTCCCCCCATTGAAACGTTCTTGGATCATGTACATCGTCACCGCATTCCTCTACCACATGCCCCATCAGTCCGCAAATGAAGCAGAAATCAGGCAATTTCTCATAGAACACACTATATTTTTTTTGCTCTCCTTCAACGTGATAGGAACAAAGTGGACCAGCAGTTTGTTTACATCCAAACAAACTCGTGCTCTTAAAGTACTAGAAGGATTAATCCTACCCTCATTCACAACAACCATAAATGGTGGCTCACCCACCTTGGCCGCAACCTTCTCCGCTAGTTCTTTTTTCCTCGTCAAACCATCCAGCAATCCCTTGATTCTAGCCCACACCGGCACCTTGTTCAATCTATACATAGATACATCAGAGAATTCGTCATACTCCTAGATCACAACTAGTGGGTTTCTGAAAATCCACGGACCACCATCCATAATTCTCCTCCAGTCTCCCAAACAGTAGCATTGCACTGAGAACAAATTGGGCCCCTTAATGTTAAAGGTCACTCCGTGTGCTAAAGACCACGCATTGCGCATCTGATTCAGTAGCGTAGCATGGCTGAACGGGCATGTAGTGTGCACACGAGAGAGGCCCAACCAACGCACTTCTTTGATCAATTCATCAACTTCTTCGGAGAAATCAAGATCCTCCTCTTCTTCGCCATCTAAAGTCATGCCTGCAAATGATCTTCAAAGTCAGCTTCAGGACCAAAGTAGTCGCCATAGTCTTCCTCTGCATGCCCTGATCTGGACTGGTTTATGCCACTCCGCAGTCCCTCACCTCCATCCTCCTTTTCCAGCCTTGCCTTCTCTTGTTTGTCCTTCTCCGTCCCCTGATCTGCCCCCAAACTCCCTACCCTCTCGCTTCCTGCCACTTCTGCCACTACCTCCTTCTCCCTCTCTTGCCTCCCCCTATCGATTTGACATGGTGGATTTGCCATACAGGCAAGCTTGCATAGCCGAACAGGGTGGCCTCCTTAATCGACGAAGGAACTCCGGCCGCCGGTGGAATTTTTAGTGGACTCTAGCGGTAGTCGCCTGAGGAAAGGTGGAACCCTATGGGGAAAGGTAGACGAACTGTCGAGGTGAATCAACGGCCAAAAAAATAGACTAATCAGCGCATATTGGTGTTCTTACCCAACCTGAGGTTTTGTGGGAAAACACACTGGTGTAGTACATGGACCAAATCAAGTATTTCCCGCAGGATCCACCAGGCCAACTCGCAGGATGCCCAAAAATAATGCGAGTAATCAAACACATCCTAAGAAATTAGATGATACTACACACGTTGCGGAATATTCTGCATTATATTTTTAATAAAGATTGGTTGTATGAAACAAGCATATGTGGGTTAATGTGAGAACTAAAATTGAAATACATATGGTTTATTATGCTTGATTATTTTATTGGCATGAAATATTTATTAAATATATTATCACAATAAAATAAAAATTCTCATGCATGTTTGCATGTTGGGGTGGGGCTTTTTTTCATGTATGATGCATGATGAGATGGCATGCTTGCATGTTGAGAGAAAATATGATAGTGGGGACTATCTATTTAAATATAAAAAAAATATGCATCGTCTTCTTTTTGCATCCACCCCAACATGACATGAGCAATACACATGGTTGTCTGTGGACCTCTTTTTCACCGGAGCTTCAACGAGCGGAGACTGAATAGATGATCTTACATTCTGAATGCTCCCATGTTTTTTTTCGTGCTGTGGAGATGATTCATTGATATGTTTTACACTTGGGTTGTGGAAATGTCCTAGCTTTTTCTCCCAACCGATGAGGCGAGTACTTGAAATGTGGGGTGGGTGTTTGCCTGCCCAAGCATTTTCCCCCATTTTCGATTGCCTTACATTATTTGCCGGGTTTTGCGTTGATATCTGATGCCAAACTAATGTGGGACTGCTCGATCGGACATTGGTTATTTACATGTTAATTTGTGTTGGGCAGTATGCTTGGGAAAGTGGAAATGAAGGAAGAAAAGGATTTTAAAGAGGTTGTTTCAAAGAAGAATAAGAAAAGGATAAAGGCGGCTGTCCCACGCTGCTGCCTTGACGGAGATGGCGTTCGCGGTGGCTGTCCCACGCCCGAGACCCATCCTCCGTCTGGACCGTCTCCACCTCACCCCCATCCGCGCCGCCGCGGCGAGGACCCCCGTTCCCCAGCCCCTCCCCGACGAGCTTCAGCTCGTCGCCGACGTTCGCTCCCCGCATAACCACATCCGCGTCGCTGACGTCTCCCCGCGCGCTGCCGGTCACCCCCTCGCCGGCGCGCGCCTCCTCCTCCTCGACGGCCCCGGCAACATCCACTCCGTCTCCTTCCCTTGTCGCCCCTACTGCCCCCTCACTTCCACCTACTTCGACGTCTTCACCACCCTCCCGCCTCTCCTCCCGCGCCCATCCATCGCCGTCTTCGGCTTCGGCGCAGGCTCCGCCGCGCGCTCCCTCCTCCATTTCTACCCAGACATATCCGTCCATGGCTGGGAACTCGACCCCTCTGTTATCGCCGTCGCCCGGGACTTCTTCAGTCTCGGGGAGCTCGAAAAGGACCACGCCGGCAGGCTGTTCATCCACGTCGGCGACGCGCTGGAGGCTGAGGCCGTGCCGGGAGGGTTCGGCGGCGTGCTGGTGGATCTGTTCGCCAACGGGAGCGTGCTGCCGGAGCTCCAAAACGCGGACACCTGGCGCCAGATAGGCGGGATGGTGGCGCCGGGAGGGAGGATGATGGTGAACTGCGGCGGGGGCTGCGTGGAGGCGGAGGAGGAGGGGAGAGACGGCGAGGCAGTGAAGGATGCGACGCTGCGGGCGATGGCGGCAGCGTTCGGGGAGGGAATGGTAGCGGTGCTGAGCGTGGATGAAAGTTGGGTGGCGATGACAGGGCCGGTGGCGTGGGCATCGGAGGAGGCGGCGGCGTGGAAGGCTAGGCTGCCGCCGGAGCTGGGCCACTATATTGACATGTGGAAGCTGTACAACGACAATGGTGATGCATGAATAGATGGGGATTATGCAGAGGTTCTTTATGCAAGAATGCAGAGTGATTTCTGTAAGTTAGCGCAGCACATTGCTGAATTCTTCTTGTCCCTATACATTCTTGGAATTCATTGACTAGTGACTAACAGGGCATGCCAACTAGAGTAAATTGAAACTATATCTAAGCTATTTAAAATGTAATTGTCACAAAATGAGTTGTCGAAATCTATGACAAATTGTTTTTCTGTGGTATGGAACTATGGATAATGTCTGCTGAAATCTCTAATGACCAGATGGTAAATCAATGTGTGTGACCACAAATGTAAATTGGCAAGAAAGAAAGAAAGATTCTAAAGGCACACCAAGATTTCAGATCCGATGAGCTGTCAGTTATTTTAAAACCTGTTCAAATCACAATTTAATTCTTCCAAATTTCGGTATTATCTCAAATGTGGAGGAGAGCAAAGGTGCTGGGTTTGATTGTTTAAGATTTGTTAATGGAGTTCCTGCAACTATAATGTGCCCGCTTCACTGGTTTTTAGTTATTCATTACGATTGTGGTAACTGATATAATAGCATAAAATGCAGATCTCTTCTGTACAAACTGTAGTGATTTACGTATTTGTTAGTAGCTTCTGTTGTGCTGATTTGGTATTTGTCGTCTAAGGCACAAACTTGTAGATTTTGACAGTACAGTTCTGGAAGAGAAGAAATTTGGGCAGCTGCTTTCTCAATTAAGTCACACATTGCATGCTGCATTTTTGTACCTAACTTAAATGCCATGTACTCCCTCAGTTCACAAATATATGATGTTCTAACTTCTTTCTGAATCAGATGTATATAGACACGTTTTAGTATGTTTGTTCACTCATTTCAGTCCGTGTGTAGTCCATATTGAAAAATACAAAACATCTTGTATTTGTGAAAGGAGGGAGTAGTTAACTGACCCAGTTTTAAAGACCAAGGATCACATCCTTTTTATGCTCAAGGGAAAAAACAGAGCCACATTGGGAGGCACGATGTAACGGTCTAAAAGGTTACATTGAACTTCATATGTCGATGCTTGGAGACAATTCCCTGCAAAAAGCATCAAACTGCATATGATTATAGCAAGTTAACCCTGTTGATATTCCTTTTTTCTCCTCTTATCTTTTTTTTCAAGCATGGACCATTCCCTTCAAAAGACACATTAAACTGCAGATGATTATAACAAGCTTTATAAATTTAGCTCAAACACTACATTTTACGGGGTTTTCAACAATTTTCACATTTTCAATAGCTAAATTATCTAGGTCTTTACAGACATTAAGCCCTGACAAAACAGCGAGGCAAACGAAGACAGAGTTCATCTAATGGGATATTTAAAAAATTGGTTACTCCCTCTTTGTACTAAATCAGCGACAATTAATATGGGTTGGAGGGAATTGTTTGTTATCTACTCTATTTTTTAGAAACACAGTGCAGACCCATACACTCACATACAAAGACAATTAGATTTAATGCTAGTTCCCTCTTCATAACCTCAACAAAGAACAAAAGAGATGTGCTGCATCGAAAAGTTCTACCCACAACAGCTTGTAAAGTTGCATTTCGATTTAAAGCATGCAACAGCCGATTCCCTCCAAAATGCATCCGAACTAGTTGACCTTTACATATGCATTCCTTGTGCTATTTTATTCCCCTTTCCAGACAAAGAAAGACAAGGTTGTTCTTTCCTTCCTCCTCATCTTTTCTCCTTTGATCTCTTTCCTTTTTCACTTTTGCTCCTGCCCACACGCCTCAGTGTAAAACTATTTTCGCCCCCAAACCGAGCGCTTTGCCTTTGCATCTTGCTAATCATGCCCTTCAGCGCTCTTGAAAGAAGGCAAAGCTTGCGCTAATGGATCGGAAAGGAGCTCCCCTCTCTTTTCATTTCCCGTGCAACTTCCTCAGATTCCTCTCCCGTGCACTGACTGGCCGTTTCAGCAGCATCTCTTTACTTTCTATGCTTTTGCAAATATATCTTTTCTGTTCCTTTCCACTGGCTTATAAACACAGGCATTGCATTGCACGGTCGGCCTGTCGTATCGATCCGTTATCGCTTGAAGCTTCGGCTAGCTAGCTAACTCGTAGAGTAGTGCGTACGTGCAGGACCTTCCTCTTCTTTCACATCCGTTCTTTGCTCTTTGATTTGAGTTGACACTTGTAACTCTGTTTGTTTTTCTGTTTGCAGGGTGGTGCAGCATGGGTCTTCAGAGGAAGATTCTTCTGCCGGAGAGAGCCACCATCCAGGTGGCCGACGCAGACGCTGGAACTCTGCAGCCGCTGAAGATGAAGCGGCCTCGTGATGGTGAGGACGAAGGCGCTTCGGGCCCGCTGACGCCGACGGCGAACGGTGCAGGGACCGCGCCCACGCGCTGCCCGCCGGCGCCGCCGAAGAAGCCGAGGCTCGTGCTGGGGTGCAGCCTGGACGGGTTCAAGGTTCTGAGCGTCATGGACTTGCGTTGCTTCCTTCGTTGACGAGCCACCTTGTTTGTTTGTTTGTTTGTTTGTTTTAGTTACAGAAGATTGTTTTGGTGTTTTTGTGCCCTTCAACTGTTCTTTTTAACCGGAATAAGCCTCTAGCTTTGCATTGTGGGCTGCTATGCTGAAGCGGCCGCGACCTTATTACAGTAATTATCACTGAAACTGAGCAGTTCAAATCGGCAGAGGCTCTATTTTTTTCTTTTATCTCCTGACGACGAAAGATAACCCCGTCGGGGCCTCGGTGCTGGGCTGATCTGCACTCTGTATAGCTTTGCGTCAAGAGCAATGGATCGGTTTCAACAGTCGCCCGTGTCCATTCCCAATCCCTGGGTTTCAGCATGCAGTGCGTCTTGGACGATAATGGAGCCAGTAATTAAGTTTGGCCGAAATGAATATGCAAGTCTTGATTTATTTATTATTTGAACACGGTAAGGTCTTAATTTTTAAGGCATTAGATCAAGAAACGTATGAATCAAGATATGGTAGAATGCAAAGAAGAAAGTTTTACCGGTGCTTTCCTGCCTGCAAGGTTCCGCTTCCGCTTCCGCGTATGCACACACGTGTTCCTCTAAGATCTTTCCATTAGCTCGCGCTAGAAACAAAGCCCGAATTTCACACGGTGCTGCGCTTCTGGTCCGTAGGTGCTGGAGTCCTCGGATGCTTCGCAACTTGTCTGTCTGTTCGGCGTTTCCTGAAGCTCTCCGAAGTCTGCACGGTGGCCTCCACGTCCGCGTGGTCGCTCGGTCGCTCCACGTAGAGGGTAATTCACGGCCGGGAGCAGCCCGCGACGTGGGCACCGCCGCGGCCACCGCGCGCAGCTCGTCACGGGTTGGCTCGCGGGGAGCACGGCCTATAAATTGTGCCCACTCTCTCGGAACAATACATCAGCGAACACTCAACGACACTACAACAATCAGAACTGCAATCATCTTTGCCTGTTGCAGCATCTGTAGCTTTTTTCTGTACTTTCGTTCACCTTCCGTCCGCGGTTGATCAATGGCGACTGTGATGGTCATGAGCTCCTTCGCCGGTGCCGCCGTCCTGCCGCGCGGCTCGGCCGGCCGCTTCGGGGCCCGGTCTCTGCCAGCGCTGGGCCGACACGCCCTCGTCGTCAGGGCACAGACCGAGGGCCCAAGCGCACCACCGCCAAACAAACCCAAGGCGAGCACCTCGATCTGGGACGCGTTGGCGTTCAGCGGCCCTGCACCGGAGCGCATCAACGGCCGCCTTGCCATGGTAGGCTTCGTGACGGCGCTTGCGGTGGAGGCAGGGCGCGGCGACGGGCTCCTCTCGCAGCTCGGCAGTGGCACCGGGCAGGCGTGGTTCGCCTACACCGTGGCGGTGCTGACCATGGCGTCGCTGGTGCCGTTGCTCCAGGGCGAGAGCGTCGAGAGCAGAGCCGGCGCCATCATGAACGCCAACGCGGAGCTCTGGAATGGCCGCTTCGCCATGCTCGGCCTTGTCGCTCTAGCGGCCACCGAGATCATCACTGGCGCACCCTTCATCAACGTATAGAATAAACTAGCTTTGTTGTCGACCGGATAACACAACCTGTACTGAGTAGGACATGTAAATGATGAGAATTGATCACCCTCATATTCTTTGTACTGCTTATACTAATTAAAAACATTTCATACTACGGGAGCTGCTTTGTTTGTCATTCTAGATCTTCTTTGACGGTGATGCCCATTACTGAAATTTGCCTCTTTGTCGACTACCTTAGAACATCTGTAAGGCGCCTTAAACCCACCTCATACGCCCGAGCGGACCGCCCGATCACTGTCCGGTCATGTTTTTTCGATCCAGACGGGCTTTTTAAATGGCCCTCAAACGTCCGGGCTGACTGACACCCTCCACATCCAGTTCAAATATGAGGCGGATAAGGCGGCGGCCGGGTACGTCCGGGCACGCCTACCACGTAGGACTGACAAAGGGATCCCAGGCGGACTCGCCCGGAAACTCGGTGGTCCTATAGACGCCTCCTCCGTCGCCGCGGTGTGCACGCCGCATGGCGCCACTCGGGCTCGCCGCCCGAGAGCAAATCGGCCTATTTAGGCCGGCCGGAGTCCCGCAACCCTAGTTCATCCACCTTCCACCTCTCTGTGCCGCCAGTCCGAGCCCATCATCTCCTTCCTCTCCCGCTCCGGCGCTCTGCCCACGCTCTGGCGCTCCGCCATGGTCCGGACTAAGATCACGTACTACGCAATGCTCACGTCAGAGCGCCGTGCCGAGATCCGGCAGCAGATCCGGGCGAGACAAGTCGCGCGCGCAGCCTGCATCGCTGCCGGCTAGCCTCCGAACTCGTCGGAGCCGGAGGAGGAGGAGTAGCAGCCAAGGGAAGAGGAGGAGGAGGAGCTGACGTTGATAGAGGTGGAGGAGGCGGAGGAGCCGGACCAACAGGTGCCAGCCTTCAACATGGAGCAGGCGAAGACGGAGTTCGCCGTCGCCTAGTCCGACGAGATGGGGGAGCAGCAGGGCATCCTGAAGTCCATACAGAATGAGGCCTATGTGGAGAC